AATGAGTTCCTTCAGTATCGAGCAAGTAAGCAGACATCTCCACAAGTAGCCTCTGTTGCTCAGACTGATACTTCTGTTGTTGGTATTTCTTTTGCTTGTGTTTCCCAGTCTAGTACTCTTGGACAATGGGTTGTGGACTCAGCCGCTTCTGATCATATCTCTGGTAATAAATCACTTTTGTCAAAGATTGCGTATTCACAGTCTCTTCCCACTGTTACTTTAGCCAATGGGTCTCAAACTAAAGCAAAAGGAGTTAGACAAGTGAATCCCCTGCTCTAGATTCCGTTCTTTATGTCCTTGGCTGTCCTTTTAATCTTGCATCTGTTAGTCGTTTGACTCGTGCCCTCCGTTGTGGTATATATTTCATTGATGATTCTTTTATTCTGCAGGATTGCAGTACGGAATAGACGATTGGAACAGAACTTGAATCAGAAGGCCTTTACTACCTTAATTCACTCAATTCCTCCGAGGCATGTCTAGTTATTCACAGACGTTTAGGACATCCAAGCTTATCCAAGCTTCAGGAGATGGTGCCTCGTTTGTCTAGTTTATCTACATTAGAGTGAGTCATGTCAGCTTGGGAAACATACTTGAGCCTCCTTTCCTCGTAGTATTGAGAGTCATGCAGAGTCTGGTTTTTCTTTAGTTCATTCTGATATATGGGGTCCTAGCAGAGTCAGTTCAACCTTGGGATTTCGTTATTTTGTTAGTTTCATTGATGACCATTCAAGATGTACTTGGATTTTCTTAATGAAAGATCGTTCTGAGTTGTTTTCTATATTCCAGAATTCTTGTGTTGAAATTAAAAATCAATTTGGTGTTTCCATTCGCCCTTTTCGCAGTGATAATGCCTTAGAATATTTATCCTCTCAATTTCAGCAGTTTATGACTTCTCAAGGAATTATTTATCAGACCTCTTGTCCTTATACCCCTCAGCAAAATGGGATTGCAGAGAGAAAGAATAGGCATATCATTGAGACTGCTCGCACACTTCTCATCGAATCTCATGTTCCGTTGCATTTTTTGGGCGATGCAGTTCTCTACGCCGGTCACTTTATGGTCTAAAGCAGTCTCCTCGAGCCTGATTTGGTAAGTTCAGCACAGTTATCCAGGAGTTTGGCATGACTCGGAGTGAAGCTGATCACTCTGTGTTTTTATNTTTTTTCTTGACAGAAAAAAAGATAAGGAAATGGCTCCATGTGCTCTGATTCATTATTTGGGAGCATTACCAAAGTGTTTCAAAGGTGGGATTATCTTGACGTAGGTCTGTCTCTGGCCTAGATCAACCTAAGTTAAATGAAGTCTCTATCGTTCTGCTGAAAAAATCAAATATGAAACTTCATACACCTTAAAGTTCATATGACGAAAAGAGATTTTTTTGAGGTCCTTATACTCATTATGATCACTCTGTGTTTTATCGGCACTCTGCTTCGAGTCTCTGTATTTATCTAGGTCTGTGTGGATGATATTGTTATTACCGGCAATGATCAGGATGGTATTACTAAATTGAAGCAACATCTCTCTCAACACTTTCAGACTAAGGACCTGGGCAAACTAAAGTATTTTCTGGGTATTGAGGTCGATCAGTCTAGCTCAAGTATTGTGATATCACAACGGAAGTATGCCTTAAACATTCTTGAGGAGACAGGAATGACAGGTTGTAGACCGATTAACACTCCGATGGATCCGAATTCTAAACTTCTACCAGGACAGGGGGAGCTGCTTAGCGATCCTGCAAGATATAGGCGGCTGGTTGGTAAATTAAATTATCTCACAGTGACTAGACCTGACATTTCCTTTCCTGTGAATGTTGTAAGTCAGTTTATGGATTCTCCCTATGATAGCCACTGGGATGTTGTTGTCCGCATTCTTCCGTATATAAAGTCGGCTCCAGGCAAAGGGTTATTGTTTGAGGATCGAGGTCATGAGCAAATCGTTGGTTACTCAGATGCTGATTGGGCATGATCACTTTCTGACAGACATTCTATGTCTGGATATTGTGTTTTAGTATGAGGCAATTTAGTGTCTTGGAATAGTAAGAAACAAAATGTAGTTGCTCTATCTAGTGCAGAAACAGAATATCGAGCAATGGCTATGGCAACATGTGAGCTAATTTGGATCAAACAATTGCTAAGGAGTTAAAATTTGGTGACATTAGTCAGATGGAACTTGTGTGCAATAATCAAGCTGCCCTTCATATTGCATCAAATGCAGTGTTCCATGAGAGGACTAAACACATTGAGATTGATTGTTGCTTTATCAGAGAAAAGACACTCTCAGGAGATATTGCTACAAAATTTGTGAAGTCGAATGATCAGCTTGNGCACCAGCTTGAGGGGGAGTGTTAGTTTGGTAGTTAAATAGTATTAAATAACTTTAATCTCATATGTGTTAGGAGTAGGACGTATATATATATATATATATATATATATATATATATATATATATATATATATATATAGGGCTCATTGTATCATTGTTAAGACATGTGAATAATATCATATTTTTCTCCCGTGCATTCTCACATATGTAATAGTTTTTAACGCAATCCAAACTATCACAAAATCTTATCAAGTGATGGACAAAATTCACGTAAGTGAAATTCGAGTAAAGTGTAGCACCTTTTTAACATGTATTTAACAAAGAGTTAAATTACGAATAAAACTACACCTTATCTATAATTCTTTCTTCCTTTTTTATGTTTTAATTAAAGATGGTTAGCTGACAAATAAAAATTCAATGATTTTAAGTTTTCAGGATAATTCGGTTCATCTCTCAGTGAAGCATTCAATAGGCATTCGTTCATTCTAATATAAAACCTAAATAAATATTACTATAATTTTGCTCAACCACAGATATGAATAAATGGAGGATGACTTAAGTTCTATGGTCGTTGTAATTCACAATACACCCGTGTTAATTCATTAGTTTATAAACATATAAACAAAGAGAAAAAACAAAAAACTAAATGCACGGGCAAAGAGGAGAAAGAGATCAAAATGTCAAGTCCCAAATATTTATCCTCCTTTCCGCAAGGCTAAAACTGTATTATGTATTCTATTTGAAGGCATAAAAATATTACCCTTTTATTCTCAAGTTTTCTTTAATTATTTCTAAAGCACCCGATCAAGACAACTGAGTTTTCCCCCTATGGCTACATAGCAGGAATTTGGATATATTTATGCGCACATTTGAAGTATTTTGCAAGTGGAGCCTAGCTTGTCACTTCCTTTACATTCCAGAAATAGTAGCTTCATTTTTCTGGTATGTACCAGCTCTTCTCGACCACATAATTGTTACTTTACAAGAAAGGCACAATTTGTCATTATATATCTCTCGAGAAGACAATATTAAATTTAACTTACCATCTTTGGTTTCATTCTGCACTATCTACTAAACGTTCTGGGATCCAACCAACCCCTCATTCTTCTTTACCTTTTTCTCCAACAGTTCATTCCTTAGTTCTATGTGACCTACCTAACCATTCATATTTTCATTCTATGCTTCTACTATATATCTGAGTATTCTCTTCTTAATAGAGACAAGAGGGAGGATAATGAAGCAACTCAACCCTAACTGGGATCTCCTAATTTATGTCTGCACTCTTTAGGAAAGCACAAACTTTATGCAATTTTTTGCCTACTGTCCTTTTTTCCTCCTTTGACTATTTTCAGACTCGAGAACTTATACACTTTTTCTTGTGGATATTGGACATTGTTTTTCTTGACCTTCTTGGATATAGGAGCAAAATATGTAATGATTTACACATCTGTGGGGATTTTTCCGCTAACGCTAATAAATCACGGGAGACTTCTTAAGTTCTATGACACTGCATCTAGAAGGCTTACCTTTCTTTTATCCTCACTGGTGGCCATTCTGTGAATATCTAGAAGATAACTAAAACTTTCAGTTAATGAGAACTCCACTTGGTCATCATTACCCATATAGTGCACAACATGAAAAGAAAACAAAAGAAAAAGCCAAGAAAATGATGGCTCAATATCGTCTGAGGGGATGTGCTTACCACTTCAAGCAAATGAACATAAAGCTTTGAATTATCACTATGCACTATTTCAAGTGTATCAGCAGCTACATTTAGAGGCTTAGAGATCTCCTGATGTAGTAGCCAGTAGGCATGATTTTCCTATAGGATATTTTATCACACTTTATGGACATATTATCTCCTGATTTTTTTTCCTAGAATTAACACTGTTTTTTATTTTATTCTCCAAAAAATTAGTCAACTAACAAACAGGTTACTATTCAGGGTCCACACACTAAATTTCAGAAGAAAATTGCAGGAATTTCAACTACATTTCCTGCATAAGTTTTGATAATAAAAGAAGTCAATGAATAATGCAGAGATAGTAAAATCCGTACCAACAGCTATAAAAAGGATAAGTTCCCATGTAGCTAATACAATGAGGACTCCAGGAGAAATTCTTACTCATTTTGAAGAAAAAAACCAGAGTAAAAAGCAAAGAAGGTTTCAATGTTTGCATTATGAAAGGTACAAACAGAAAAGCATCTTCCCTATATTTATTCACTTCCTTTCTTCTGAGTATTCAAGAAACTGAAAAATCACAAGAAATTCAAAAATAAAAGCAAAAAACAGAAAAGAAATGGAAAAATAAAAGGGAAAAGGACTGAGCAGAGAAACCAAAAGATTGAAAATAAAAACTGGGTATACATCAAAATAAAACAAATTAATAAGTTCCCACAACTTTTTGGTTTAGGAAGAGGCTTACCAATATTTTGGAAGATACATTTAAAGTTCATAATTCATATCTCATCGCAAAAGTTTTTCTTATTAAAGCAGGCGATTAATTTTAGGCGAAATTTAGTCATAAGCTATTTTCTCTCCACCATTATTTGCTGCTATTCAGGGGCAATCCGAAATAAGAGGAAAACTACCACATCATCAAAATCTTATCACCAAGAAATAGATGAAAAAAATGAAGGAAAGAAAAAATGAAAGACGCAAGAAAAACTCACTGTACCTCAAATATTTTCTGCGCCAATAGTTTTGTTGTCCAAAAAATTGTACGCAAGTCCAAAATTCTCTTCATGACTCATAGCATCTAAAAGCCTTAAGCCGTGTAATAGTTATAATAGTACATGCAAGTGCAAAAATAGTTAAGAAAAGAGTATAAATAAGTGCAGTACTGGACGTCTAAGGAAAATTCGAAAGTGAGAATGCTTACCGGTTATTATTCATAAATAAGTATCGCAACGCCAGAGCAAAACTCAAACCAGATTGAAAAATTCTGGAAAAGTGAGGCCAAGAAACAGTAACAAAGGAGAAAGAAAGGTAAGAGAGGGAGAGAGAGTCTTGGAAGAATGGAGCAAATTCTAGAAAGTATGGATACGAGGGTGCATGGCGAACTGGCTTATAACCACTTTTTGGCTTATGTATCCTATGCTAAAATTAAAAGTGCTTATAAGTTTAGTGCTTATAAGCCAAAAATAAGCCAAAAGTCATAAGTTGGTCTCCCAACTTATCAAATTTCAGCTTATAAGCACTTTAAGTTTGATCATAATATTTACTATTCTATCCTTAAAATACTTCTTTTTAAAATAAAACTTTTCGTATACCCAGTTTTTCAGTTGCATATTATTAATTTCTAATACTTTTATCTAAACATGTAACTGCTTATTTTTTAAATCAATTTCAGCACTTAAAAATACTTTTCAGCACCTAATACTTATAAGCTACTCTAAATCAGCTAAGCCAAATGAACTCTGTGGATATCAAGGAAGACCAAATGTGCAAAACAGATGTCCCCGAGAATTAATTTACACGTATTGGAACGTCAAACGTGGGCTTACATTGTAAAATTACGGATTTACATTAATTACACTAAGCATATGTAACGTCACTTAATTGTATACACATTTTATATATTTTTAAATCAAATAGTTATCCCTCCTATACTATAAATATTCTACAAAATATTAGTTTGGATAATATCTTAATTGAATTAAGTGTTTATGTTCGAAATATTAGATAGATCCATAACTAAGTATAATGAAATGTAATAAACAAATGAAATTACAAGTAAAAAATTTCAATACATTTAGTTTTGTGAGATTTAAGAGGATAAACAATTTGTTTGAAAAGTTATTATTCACACCTTTAATTAAAAAAGAAAATAGATACTTTCTTAAATAGGAAATGACAATGGAACAAAAGTAAAAATAAATAGGAAATGACAACATATTACTTAGTACGTGATGAGTACCATTTATTAATATACTAGATGAGGAAAGGTCCGTATACGGGCCCAACGTTATAATTTTATTAAAATTATTGTTTAGTTAATTAACTTTTGAGGTTTAACAAGCTATATTTTTTAAAATTACTTTTGAATATAAAAATATTTAGTTTGAAATCGTCTTCAAATAGTATGGATAGATGAAAATTATTTAATTTTTATTTTCAAATTGCTTTAAAATAGTATGGGTAGATATGAAAATCTTGTAAATATTGATGCTTCTTTTTGTTGTTTTATTATTTAAAAATAAATTTTACTTTTTTTATGGAAACTTCTATTTGAATAACAAAATTAGTAATTTTTCAAAATGAGAAAAAGATTGGAAATGAGCATTTGCACTACATAAATAGTCTAATCAACACATGCATTGAAAGGAGAGTTGTGGCTAGAGGAATATGGGGTCTACGTGTATTTTGCATTTAAGAAATACAAACATGAATTTTTTATGAAATGACATATATGCCCTTGGTCAACCATCTTCCTTTTCTATATAATAGAAAAATAATTTTCTTGCATCTAAACATGTAAGTTGCTTGTATTTTTTAAAACCAAATTATTATCATACAAATATTTCTCATTTCTTAGTTTAATTCTTATTCATTGTTCTGCTTGAAATTTTCTTAAATTTAGTAAGCTCAATGAACTTCCTTTCTGGAAACTTTTCATTATATTATTGGTTTAATTTTATTTTTCTAAAATTAATTAAAGGATGACGTCATCATATTTGCATAAGATTTTCATAATATGGGCTATAAGTGATTGATTTCAAAATATAAAAGGTGTATTTGCATTGTGTAGTCGAATTATGTGGGTGTTTAGTGTAAATAAAATAAAAATACTAGCTCATTTGCTCTTCAACGTACCCGCTCCAAATCTGCTGTGCTGAGGCCCAAAACGGCAAATCAGTTTAAACTTTCAAGTTTCAACAGATTTTCCACCATACGACTGAATTAGCAATATGAAAATTCAAACGCAATTGCTGGATTTGGCTTAGGCAATAATAATAGAACTTCCGTTCTCATCGAGAAGAGTTGATACAGAAGATCACGGCGAACTGAATTTTGGAATTAGAATCCCTTGGTTTGATTGTAATCAGTAAGTTATTATTGTTCATCAGCCGAGTTTCTGTTTTAACTGCTTAATTGCGGAGTTGATTCCCTTTGAAAGTGATATAGGGAGGAGATATTGCTAGTAAACTTGACTCCACATCAGTTGTGTAGATTTTTTTAACGGGGTTTATAATGTCACTCATTGCAATACGATTTTGGGTTTGATGCCTAGATTCTTTCGCACGGTATCAAATTCTAATTTTGATTAAGTTCATTTTCATAACAGTTTTCTATTTACCTATTCTATTGTTTTGCCCCACTCTCCCAATTATGTCCATTGTGCTACTAACTCTGCCCCACTCTTCAACCTGTTGAGTTATTTCACTCCTTTTTTAAAAAAATCCATTCTTTACGTATTGTAATGTTTTGGGTCCCTCTCTCCATCAATTCAGTCCATCGAGCAACTAACTCTGTTTAACACACACTTCTTAGCCTGTTAAGCGTACTTTCTTTACTCCAACTATATTCTTCTACCTGTTGAGTCATTTCAGTTTTTAAGAAAAAATAAGGAGTTAAGATAGGCGTGTGGAAGAAGTCATGAACTGCAATGCTGAGATTTTATCATTTATGTAAACTATAAATCTTATTTCGTGGAAACAATCACATCCGCCGGACTGCCTCTTCGTTTGGCAGCATGTTAATCATTTTGCTTGCACTATAATCGGTGGCGGAGCCACATATAGGTAAAAATAATTTTTATATATCTTTACTATGTATTGAATGTCTCTTTTCGTCTCCTTGAGCGGAGGGTCTTTCGGAAACAGGCTCTCTACTCCTCCGGGGTAGGGGTAAGGTCTGCTTACATAGTTAAAATACTAGCCATTTTGGCGCCCTTAGTTAAAATCCTAGTACCATCTTCTCTTGATGTAAAGAGATTACTATATTGACACTGCTGGCCATGTAATCCTAACCATTTTTTTTAGGAATTTTCATTTTTTCTTCCAGTTGCTCCTTATTATGTCTGTTTGCATCATATTGTCCCACTCTTTCATGTAAATCTTCCCAAAATTGATGATGATTCTAAACAATTTAACTCTGTCTAGTCTGTTGTTTCCATTGTGGCAGAGTTCAAGGCTGGCATGAGGCACACATCTCATGATGATGATGATCTCAAGCATCCCTTATAAAGACATGTTCTCTTTGCGGGGGATTGTGTTCGTTGGTGCTGTTGATCGCAGCATAAACTTGGGTAAGTACTAACCATCTATAGGTGTGTATATGATAATCATGAATTCTCTTTTATATGAGATGGATAGACCTTGTCTTATATTTGAAGTAAGAAAAGTTAATTTGATGATTTTGTATTCACTGTCTACATTATAGAGCGGATGGACCTTTGGTCTGACATGTTAAGCAGGAAAATTGATCCTTTATTTAATTTTTAGTTTTAGCATTCTTATCCTTTTATTTTGATTGTCGTACCTTTTCTTTGTGGAATGGATTTGCTTATGATTGTTCTCTGGTCGCTTGATGGTCTTGGGAATAGTTTCACAACCACCTTATCTATGTTCTTTTCTTGGTTCTTTCCTCGAGCCTTCTGTATTTTATTTTCAACCTGAAACAGCACATCTGGTTTTATTTCTTTTGCGATTTTCTCTTCTTTATCTTATTGTTTGTTGATTTTGTTCGAACTCAATCTTCTTCTGTTTCAGCAAAATCTACGTTCATCTAACTTATGTCCCTGACGAAGATAGTGTTAATCAAAGTCTGGAACTCCCTCATACTGCACCTCTTGCCAGAATCCCTCTTCTTTGGATTATCTGTCATTTCGATCCGACCCAAGTATTATTTTGTCGCCTTTGCCAAGTTGATCCCGATTCTTTCCTTAGATGCATTAGCTTGTGTCTAATATTGTGTAGCTACATTAGGGGCCAAAGAAACTCCAGTTACATAGAGTCAATAACTAAGAGTCTAAGACAGAGCATCTCATCTGTAAAGATGTCAGGGAAGATTGTATAATAATACTCATACTGGAGCCACAGAGGTCTCAACTTCCGGAACAAAATCAGATAGCCACTTCAAGTTACATATCAAAGCAGAAATGGAGCCAAAATTTCACTAAGGAGATTTATAACATAAAGAAGTAAACACACGAAGAAGCCAAGGGGATTCAACCTATAGTATATACACATAAAAAGATTTGTTTGCCAATCTACACTATGTTATTTTCCAGCGAAGGGGTGTCAATTCACTGCTGCATCAAAGCATTCAATCTCCGTAATCTCATGAAACACAAGTCATTATCCAAGTATGACAAAGACATACTCGCATCAAAATAATTATCTCAATATTAACTTTTATTAGGATAAAAAGAAAAACATTAAGTAGGATCTGACTAACACCACTATTTCTAATTGCACCAAATTTAAGGTTTCCTTCGTTAGAACTTCACCATTAGAGTGAATCTACAATTCTACACCAAGTTCTCATAGTAATCTTTAGTTGTAAATTTGAATGCAAGATAGCTCATACATGTTTATTTGGTTACTGGAGAGATCTGAATTCTAAGATTTCCTGCTCCAGTTGGGTTCTTACAAGGAGCAAATGTGAAGTTTGATTAGATGTTGGGCTGTGTCAGATTGTGATTGAGTTGATTGTACGTTTGATAGTTGACCTGTGTGACCCTTAGCGATGGGCTGATAGTCCTTCACACCCACCTTTGGCTGAGTAGTATCATTGCAGGTCAAGCAAAGCTAATCATATGATAATGTATGCCCTGAGCGTTCACTCTTAAAGGAACTAGCTGATTTCTAACGGTGTTTTCGACTGACCAACAAGCTGTCAAGACATTGGAGATACATTGACTAGAAGTCGCCGAACAGTTATAATTTTTAATTTTTTAATATTCAGTTTCTTGACGTAGAGGTCATTGCAATCCGTCAAAGATAGTTCACGCAATTTTGTGGGAAGTAGTTTTCAAAGACAGTTCCTTCTCTTTTGGAAGGAATACGTCCGTTGAAAATTCTCAACAAATGAGGGTTTTTATAGGGCTTCCATTGGTCGAATTAATTCTATATCTCAAAGAACTGGCTGTAGAATGGCTATTTTCAGAATATAGTAATTTTTACGAAGCAGGGTCATCAAAAGCTCGACTTCTAATAGAGGAAAATGCGTTTTCTGATTAGTGATTTTCGCTAGAGTTTTCGATGGATGGCCGTCGGATATTTACCGTTTCCCTCTTGTCCCCATAAACATCGCCACTCACCACTCGTCTCTCGTGGTCGGCAACTAGCTAGTAACTCTTCATTCCTCTGACTGTTGATTCAAATCTTTTTTCCATTTTCTTCTTTCTTGATTAGACATTTAAGAGAATAATGTTGATAACATGTTTGATATACAGATGCTTTGTCAATTTTATGTAAATTGCTCAATATTATGATCGGAGCATTCTTGTTCTAGTTTCAGTATTCTATAAGATTCAACGAGATGAGCTTTCTTTTAATGGATAGACATATATATCACATTGGCTATCAACTTTTGAGTATGGAAAAATTTAATGTTTATCTCAGTAGAGTTGCATGGCTGAGGTAGGCTGATGAAATACAAATTCAATGTGGACTTGTCCATGAAATTCAAAGATATAATACTGCAGTGACGTAATCTGATTCATTATAGCAGTAGAAAGATGCAAATCTATAGTGATGAAAATTAGTTAATGTCTTTATTTGTCAATATTGCTTCTCAGATGGAGGGATTACTGGCTTTAGCTTGGAAGTTTGGTTTGCAATGACTTTTGCACATCCAGAAGTCCAGGGGGAGCTCTGGGCGGAGACGACATACGTAAGTTTACAATTCAGTCAGAAATTTCATTTTCTAATCATATATGATTTAGATATGTGTTGTTCGATGTGTTGTCAGGTTGTTTGATGCGTTATATAACTCTACCGAAATTTTGCAGCGAACCTCGTTATTTTGATGTGTTATTTTATAATAAGGAAAACTAATGCACATTATAGGATGAAGTTACGCCCAATTATTGGATAACCTTTGCCGAAATTCCCAAAAGATATCTTACTCGTCTTCTAAGTTCTAACTTATTCCGAATATTTCTTTAGAAGATGAATCTAAATGGAGTTTGGAGCAGCTTAGGATAGGTTGCTAATGTACATTAGATAGATTGTATTCAGTAGACATATATTTGATGTTTAATTACATTATTTCAGCATTCCTTAATAGCAAATTACCTATATTTTTGTGTTTCTAAGAGGCATTGAGCTTGCAGTATGTCCATTAATTTTAAAAATGCCCAATGAAGTAGTAAATCTCTCAGTTTATCAATGGTCATACCATTATTTTCGAGGGGAAAACGGTAAAAAAGGGACTAAAATTGCCAAAGACCCATATTTTTGTACGGCGAAACCATTGAAACATTAACCGTGGAGAATGTCACAGTTTTTGACTGTTAAGCCATTGAAAAGTTTCTTATTTGCAATCATCCGTATATTCCGAAGGAAAACCCGCTGACAATTGAGCAAAAGTTTCCCGTTCACAATTGTTGGTGGCCTGTATGTTGAAAATATTACTCCCTCCATTTAATTTTATATGAACTTGTTTGACTAGACACAGAAAGACTTTTGGAATTTGTGGTCTTACACATGCCACGACATTTGTGTGGTTATAAAAATTTTGGAACTTGTGGTGTTAAACATGTTATGACAGTTATGTGGCCGTAAGATCATGTCTTTAAGGGCAAAATTAGAAGTTTAAAGTTAAATTATTTTCAAATATAGAAAGAGGTCATTCTTTTTGGAATAGACTAAAAAGGAAAAGTGTCATGTAAGGTAGAATAGAGGGAGTAAATGTTTTCGTAGTTCTTTGTTCTGTCTGGCAAGTTGTCGAAAACTTACCAAATTGGCAAATCCTCTATGATTATTCTATGTTTTTGACTGACAATCCACTGAAAAATGATTGTTTTCTCATGACACAACATATCCGATACATTTATATTTGTATTCAATTTTTAATAAAAAAATCCATTGGAAAATTATATCGTTTTAACCTACTTTTCGTCGGGCAATTTCTCCTTTTACATTGCAAAAGCCTTTGATAATTTTCAACCCTTGATCAAAAAATCTTATAGATAAGCATTATTCTGAAGGAAGCTTTTTCTAGGAATAAACGTCGTAAAATTTTAGTTTTCCGAGGATTTTCCGGCGGTTTGGGTTGTTGGAAAATTGACCAGTTTCTTGTAGTGTGAGCCTTTAGAGTGTCCCTTTCTACACAATTGAGGATTGAATGATTGATACAAAATATTACTCCATCCCATTTTATGTGAATGTGTTTAACTAGACTCATTTGCTCACAATATAAGAAATTAAAGAAGACTTGACTTCTAAGCCATACACAAAGTACCAAACTTATCCTTTTAAGTAAATGGTGGTGAGAGTTTCACTCTGTTCATTTTCTCTCTCCTTATAAAAAAAATAAACTTCTATATTAAATGGGTCATAACAAGTCATGTCATTAAGATAAATAGAGATGCTAAAATTATATAGGTTCCAAAAGAAGAAGTGTGTCATTCTTTTGGACCGACTGAAAAGGAAAGTGTGTAATAAAATGAAACTGAGGGAGTAGCTACAATTTCAAGGCTGTTAGCGTTTCAGTTGACCACATTATTTAGATCCTCCCTTTCATCTGTCGACTCTTGGAAAGAAAGAAGGGTACAGTTTCGCATATTTTGTTTCCTCTCCTCTCTTCTTCTACTTCATGCTTCTCAACAGTTAGCAGATGCACCCCCGCACCAAAAGCTTTTAAAATAATATAAATGAGATAATATAGTTAAGTATTAAAATTCTTATTGACAAATGTTAAATTTACTTCAATTTTTTACTTATAAAATTTTTGTAATCAGGTGTTATCTATTATGTAGCGACTAATGATGACTATATAATTCTTTATACAATAGTAAATTGTGTAAAAAGGATTTAATAATATTACCTTTTTAACCTTAATTATCAAAAGAATGTCCTTAATTGTCAAAAGAATGTGTAAAAACGATATAGTTAGTGGTGTTCTAATGGATAAGTGTAAAATATAATACTCCTAATTGAAATGTTATATGTCTAAGACATTAATTAAATTTTTTCAAAGTTATTTTTACTTAAACTGATTTCTATCTACAGTCATTTACTTACACGAGGCGTGACGCTTTTTCTTGGGTCAAGCATGTGGAAATTCTGATTTTTGACTACAGTCATTTGCTTACATGAGGCCTGACTCTATTTCGTGGGCCAAACACATGAAAATTCTTTTTGATGATAAATGATAGTGAGATTTGAACTGTGGACCTTTGCTTGATCTAATACTATGTTTAAGAGTGTTACCATCTCATTTAAATGCTTAAATTGTTAGAGAGAGCACAACTTTAATTACTGTATTATAGAGGAATGCTGTGAAAGAAAAAATGCACTAATGAAATTCAGATAAGGTCACATACTGTACTTTGAGGACATTTTACTTCAAATTAAAACCATTATCAACTTGCCAACCATCAAATTAAGCCTTATCAAACAAGTGTGAATAAATTGGAAACTGTTAGTTAGTTTACAGTTATGTATATAAGTCTAGTCCCACATTGGAATAGGAGTACTATGTACTTTGTAGATTATAGCTATAAATAAGACTTCTTCTATTATATTGAAAAGACGAATATATCAATAATAAGATTTTTCTCGCGTGCATTCTCACATGGTATCAGAGCAACCGTGAGAAATTTATCGCTGTGCATAAATTATAGCGACTCCGGGAAGTGAAAACAGTCAACCGGAAGCCCTTTTTTCGGCAAAAATAGATCTGTCCGCAAGAACCATACTATCGGCCAGTGTTGTGCAAAAACCAACACCACCAGGAAGTAGATCAGAGTTCGGCGACCAACCTTCAGAAAAATCTCCGGCAGTAAAGCACCCACGCGCCCTCACGCGCCGCCAGAAGAAGTTTTCCGGCGAAGTTCTGACGTCCACGCGCCGGCGCGTGAGACTGTTTCAAGCCATATTTTGGGAAAATTTCTTCAGAATAGTCTCTTCTCCTCGCAAATCCGAGCCTACCCATCCAATTAAAATCAAATTCTGACCACTTTTATTTTTTCCGGCATGAATAGTGAGTTTTCGGGCGAGAACAGTAATTCCCAGAAATGAAAAAAAGAATTCTGCTTTTTCGGGGCAATATTATAATGGCATTCGTATCAAAAGCCTTTAACTCACAATCCGTTGGATCCAATGCATTGAATCCAATCCAGATGGTTTCTTTATCGGATTATATGGAGTTCCTTCAGTACAAAGCATGTAAACAGACATCTTCAGGGATAACTTCCGTTGTTCAAATAGATAGTAGCGTGACTTGTGTCTCCCAATCTTCAACCTCTGAGTCTCGAGTCATTGATTCAGGTGCATGTGATCATATTTCTGGTAACAAATCTCTTTTCACTACTATTTCATATTCTCAATCTCTCCCAACAGTCACAATGGCCAACGGGTCTCAAACCATGGCAACTGGAATAGTTCAAGCAAGTCCACTTCCTTCCTTAACTTTAAATTCAGTTCTTTATGTTCCCGGTAGTCCTTTTAATCTCATAGCCGTTAGTCGCTTAGCCAAATCACTTAAATGCTCTATTTTATTTTTTGATGACCTTGTTTTTGTACAGGTTCGCAGTACAGGACGGATCATTGGTACCGGGCGTGAATCAGATGGACTTTATTACCTTCTCCTTGCAAAATCACATGGACTCACATCTTGTCTTCCTTCAACAACTTGTCATGTTACCTAAGTTGCGCGGACTCTTCGATTTTGGTGCCATTCCCGTCCGGATACGGGACGGATATGGGGACGGGATACGTCCCGGATACGGTCAACTGACTTCGGACACTTTGACCGGAGTCCATTGACAAATTTGGGAGAAAAATTGAGATTTTGATTTCTCAAAATCAAAAGCAAACAAATTTAGAACAATGAATGAATAATGTCCATTTTGGAGATTGAAAGATTGAATTGTACAATATTCATGTAAGTTTTTCACATATCTCTCAAAATTTACAATATTTTTATAGATCTATTTTTTATTAGTTGAATCCCCGCACCCGTACCCATATCCGGATCTGCACCCCCGATTCTTAAAATTTAGATTTTGTCGAATACGATACTCGGATCTGTCCCCATATCGGATACCCGCACCCGAGTCCGAGCAACTTAGCTTGTTACAAATTCACCAGATTTATTATATAAACGGTTGGGACATCCAAATTTGTCAAAACTTCAGAAAACGGTACCTGGTTTATCTCACTTGTCCACTCTAGAGTATGGGTCATGTCAGCTCGGTAAACATACCCACTCCAATTTCCCTCGGCGTCTTAATAATCGAGCAGAGTCACCTTTTACTTTAATCCATTCAGATGTTTGGGGTCCTAGTCGGGTCAGTTCTACATTGGGATTCCGCTACTTTGTCAGTTTCATTGATGATTATTCCAGGTGCACTTGGATATTTTTGATGAAAAATCGATCCGAGTTGTTTTCTATTTTCCAAACCTTCCACGCTGAAATTCAAAATCAATTTGGGGTTTCTATCAGCACATTTCGTGGTGATAATGCCCTAGAGTATTTGTCTTCCCTATTTCAGCAGTTTATGAACTCTCATGGGATTATTCATCAAACATCTTGTCCGTACACGTCTCAACAAAATGGGGTAGCTGAAAGAAAGAATAGACATCTTATTGAAATTGCTCGTACCTTACTCATACAATCTCATGTCCCGTTGCGTTTTTGGGGGATGCAGTTCTTACATCTTGCTATCTTATTAGTCGTATGCCATCTTCAGCTATCTAGAATCAAGTTCTATTCTCTATTCTGTTTCCCCACTTACCATTGTTCTCTCTTCTACCCCGTGTCTTTGGAAGCACGTGTTTTGTTCATAACCTTACTCCAAGAAAAGATAAGTTAGCTCCTCGTGCTCTTATGTGCATATTTCTAGGTTACTCGAGAACGCAAAAGGGGTATCGATGCTATTCTCCTGACCTCCAGCAGTACCTTATGTCCGTTGATGTTACCTTCTTTGAAACCCAATCATACTTCACAGGTCCAGGTAATCACTTAAATATTTCTGAGGTGCTACCAGTTTCATCTTTTGGAGATTCAGTCACTATCTCCCATTCATCTTCCTCTGCAACTCCAGCTCCACCACCTACAGCTCCAGTTGCAGCTCCACTACCTATAGCTCTAGCTCCAGTTGCAGCTCCACCACTCTTGACTTATCATCGTCGTCCATGTCCAGCATCAGGCCCAGGTGATTCACGTCCTGCATCAGATTCTGCACCTACTGCAGACTTGTCTCCTCTTAGTCAACCAATTGCACTCCGCAAAGGTGTACGATCCACACTTAATCATTATCCCCATTATGTCGGCTTAAGTTATCATCGTCTGTCATCACCTTATTATGCTTTTATATCATCTTTGTCCATTATTTCTATCGCTAAGTCTATAGGTGAGGCACTATCTCATCCAAGATGACGACAGGCTATGATTGGCGAGATGTCTGCTTTACATGCGAGTGGCACTTGGGAGCTTGTTCCTCTTACTTCAGGTAAGTCTCCTGTTGGTTGTCGTTGGGTTTATGCAGTCAAAGTCGGCCCGGATTGCCAGGTTGATCGGCTTAAGGCTCGTCTTGTTGCAAAAGGATACACTCAGATTTTGGGCTTGATTATAGTGACACTTTCTCTTTCGTAGCTAAAGTAGCATCTGTTCGTCTCTTTTTGTCCATGGCTGTTGTACGTCATTGGCCTCTTTATCAGTTAGACATTAAGAATGCTTTCTCCACGGTGACCTTGAGGAAGAAGTTTATATGGAGCAACCACCTGGTTTTGTTGCTCAGGGGGAGTCAAGTGGTCTTGTATGCCGATTGCACAGGTCATTATATGGTTTGAAATAGTCTCCTCGAGCTTGGTTTGGTAAGTTCAGCACAATTATTTAGGAGTTCGTAGTGAAGCTGATCACTCTGTGTTTTATCGGCATTCTGCTCCTAATCTGTGTATTTATCTAGTGGTTTATGTTGACGATATTGTTATTACTAGCAATGATCAGGATGGTATTACTAATCTGAAACATCATCTCTTTCAGCACTTCCAGGCTAAGGATCTAGGCAGATTGAAGTATTTTCTAGGTATTGAGGTTGCTCAGTCTAGCTCAGGTATTGTTATTTCACAGCGGAAGTACGCATTAGACATTCTTAAGGAGACCGGAATGAAGGGTTGCAGACCTGTTGACGCTCCTATGGATCTGAATGCTAAGCTTCTGCCTGGACAGGGGGGCCTCTTAGAGATCCTACAAGATATAGGAGGTTGGTTGGCAAATTGAATTACCTCACAGTGACTAGACCTGATATTTCTTTTCCGGTGAGTTGTAAGTCAGTTTATGGATTCTCCCTGTGATAGTCATTGGGATGCAGATGTTCGCATTCTTCGGTATATAAAGTCAGCTCTAGGCAAAGGGTTACTACTCGAGGATCGAGGCCACGAGCAGATTGTTGGGTACACAGATGCTGATTGCGCAGGATCACCTTTTGATAGACGTTCTGCGTCTGGATATTGTGTTCTAGTAGGAGGTAATTTGGTCTCTTGGAAGAGCAAGAAACATAATCTAGTTGCTCGATCTAGCGCCGAAGCCGAATATCGGGCCATGGCTATGGCAACGTGTGAGCTAGTTTGGGTCAAGCAGTTGCTCAAGGAGTTGAAGTTCGGAGAAATTAGCAAGATGGAACTGGTGCGTGATAATCAAGATGCTCTTTATGTTGCGTCAAATCCGGTGTTCCATGAGAGGACTAAACACATTGAGATTGACTGTCACTTTGTCAGGGAAAAGATACTCTCAGGAGAGATTCTACAAAGTTTGTGAAGTCGAATGATCAGCTTGCAGATATTCTCACCAAGTCCCTCACTGGTCCTCGTATTGGTTATATATGTAACAAGCTCAGTACATATGATTTGTATGCACCGGTTTGAGAGGGAGTGTTAGTTAGTTTACAGTTATGTATATAAGTCTAGTCCCACATTGGAATAGGAGTAATACGTACTTTGTAGAGTATAGCTATAAATAGGACTTCTTGTATTATATTGAAAGACGAATATATCAATAATAAGATTTTTCTCCCGTGCATTCTCACGGAAACCATTATGAACTAGCGAATCATCAATTTAAAGCCTTATCAAGAAAGTGGGTATAAATTTGAATACCTAGCCAGCCCAGTCTTTCATGGTGAAGTTATAGCTTTTACAAGCCTGTTAAGGAAAGCAGATTTAAAAAAACAAACTCTGAAAGAGAAAGAAGATGAATGCGTGTCAATTATAATAGGTAGTGGAGTAGCGGCTGGTGAAAAGTATAGTAACAGAATTACTAAAAAGAATCTTAATATGCTAATGTAATGACTGCTCTATTCTAATATGCCAAGAAAAATTTAGAAATCTAACAGAACTTTTAATAAATATATATTTATGCCAATTTTTCGTGCTAATGTGTTCACACTTGATTGTACAAGTGGGAAAGGGGAACAATTTTTTTCTCTTTTTGGTCCGAGGGCGAATATCTCTAAATCTGCCCCTTTTCACTCTGAATAAACCATCTACAACACTGGTGGCGGTTGTCATTATTCAATTTGGCCAAATACTTCATTTACTTTAGTTAGTACAATCTTCGCCACAGAGTCAACCTTTGCCAATCAATGGAAGTTGAGACACTCATAAACAAGTCAATCAGCATTTTGGTTGTGGATGATGATGTTGTTTGTCTTTCCATTGTTGCTATGATACTCAAGAAATGTAAATACCAAGGTATGCGCCAAATCTTTTTTGCTATTTCGTTGTCTTGTTTTTTCTTCCCCTAATTTGGGATGGTGTCTTGCATGCATGAATTGCTTTTCATGCTACAATTTCTTTATGTTAGATAGCCTTAACGGAGATCGATGTATCCTAGATTTGAAAGTGGTAAGCGTTAGATCTTTAAGTAACATGACATGTGAATTCAAGTTACTTACCAGATGTACCAAAGTTATTCATACTTCCTATTTAGGAACAGAAGTGGAACGATTAATTTAAGGTGCCACTTCATTAGCTCTTCTTTGGATTCGATGTGAGTATGACTTGCTGAAGAATGAAGGGGAATCACAACCAGTGCTTTAAGAGCCGTTTTTGCCCCGGGGCGGCATAGTAAAAACGAGGGGGAGGGAGGGAGGCGGTACGAAAGTATTGCGAGGCATAAGCCTCAATGTTCTGGGCGTATACTTAGGCGTTGGGTGAGTTTTTGTTTTAGGGCATAAGCCCAGAAAATCTTTTAAATTAGAATTAAAATTACAATTCCTTAATTTAATACCAATAAACACAAAAATCAACTTGTTATTTACATTCTAAAAAGTTAAAAAACTTTAAAGTCAAAAGTTTTTTTATTGTTAGCCCTAATTTTTATCTTTCTCTTTGTCCTCTACCGGGTAAAGGAAAAAAATGATCAATTTGCAAACTTAAAAACGAAAATGCATCATACTCCATGATTTGTGGTTCAACACTTCTAATTGCAGGTTCCTTCTTTGCTTTTCTTTCTTTTTAAGTTATTTTACTCTTACAAGTTAGTTTATAAATTTCTACCCAACTTCTTTGCCAAAGTTTGATTAGTTTTTTTGATGAAGCAGTTTTGATTAGTTTTTTAGTCAATTGCTGATTCAAATTAGCATTTTAAGATGAAGTAGTTCTATATACATTTCATTTATTTTATATTTTCTTGAAATTTCTATAATTTCTATATAATTTTACCTTATTGTAATATTTATTTTTATTGTATTAATTTATAAAATATTAAAAATTAAAGATCCATGGGGCTTACGCCTAGCGCCTCGAGGCTTATGCCTCGCCCTAATACGTAAAACGCCTTTCCTTGTGCCTCGAGGCTTTCATTCTCTCCTATTTTAAGGCAAACACAAAGAGGAGTCTCTCAATAGATTGGTTGAGATGTTCTTTACCAAGCATCCAATGCTAATGACAGTATCAACATGTTTTTTCTTTCCAGTTATAGTAAGAAATTTTAATTAGATTCACAAGAAAAAGAAAAAAGGAACCTAATGAATCTGATAACGATATTTAAGCACATCTGTATTTATGGAATTGTCTTTATTTACGATAACCACATTAATAGATCTAACATCAGCATATGTATGGAAAATGTAGTTCCTTTGCTTTGGCTATTAATCTTGATGTCAGAACTTATAGGCGACTTAGCGTAGGATATTGTTATTTGGATTTTAAAATGTTTCTATATGGAGCAGTTGTCATTTCTCCTTCATAATGCATCTAACCAATAAACTATTTTGGTTTTACTCCAGTTATGACTGTCAAACATCCAATGGATGCTTTGTCTATACTTCGGATCAAAGGCGGCTCTTTTGATCTCGTTGTCGTTGATGTGCACATGCCTGATATGAATGGCTTTGAACTTCAACAAGTGATAACCGACGAATTTGAGCTACCCGTTGTTTGTAAGTCTGATTCTTTTTTCAATTTTATTTTGCATGAAATGTTCAGTATTGTATTCCCTGATCATTAAAAAAAAGGCTTATGATCCAAGCTTACATATTGAATGTCAGTGATGTCAGCTGATGACAAAGAAGGTACGATCCTGAAAGGACTAGACGGTGGGGCTGCATTTTTCCTTGTTAAGCCTATATCTGTAGATGATCTAAGAGATCTATGGCAGTACTCACTGTTGCAGAAGAAGAAAGGTAAAAGAGTTCTTCTTGAGGAAATTGATTGTTTGGAGAAAAGTTCCACTTGCAATAAGAAAAGCCTTCATGAAGTCAGGGAGTCTGCATCATCTATCAATGAAAATTGCTATCAACATATCAAGAAGGAAAAATCTAAGAGGAAACCTGCAAGAACACAGAGGAACGCTGATAAAGATAACAGTGGTAATTCTGCTGCACCATTTAAAAAGACTAAGGTTGTGTGGACAAGTTCACTACACAACAAGTTCTTGGAAGCCATCAGAGACATTGGATTTGACAGTAAGTTGCATATTTATTTTATTAAAAAGAGTTTTTCAAGGTGTCAAACTTAAAAGAACATTAAATTGTTAATATTTTGCTACCTGAATTTTTCACGCAGAAGCTGCGCCAAAAAAGATTCTTGATCAAATGAAAGTCCCTGGATTAACTAGAGCAAATGTCGCCAGCCATTTGCAGGTTTACTTCTAAATACATATGTTTAACTATAATTGGTATCATGGCTTTCACATATTAAATAGGTGAAGTTATGTTTGATTTCTGCATTACTTTGTTTGAACTAGTCCATATAGGTGAAGTAACGTTTGACTTCTGTATTACTTGGTTTGAACTAGTGCATAATTTCATAAAATAGGAGATCACAGATGTCCGTATTTGTTTTACTTCAATTATTAAGATATTCATGACTATCTATATGGATATCAACCGTCCATTAGCTTTTATCATTAGAATCTCACTTTGTTTGATTCTTATATTATGACAATGTAACACCCTTTTACACCAGTCATACCAACCGCTTCTTATTACGGTACACTACCTTTTTCTGTTCAGTTAGCATCAGTTAATTTAAAAGTTGGAAAACTTTTTACAGTATATTATTAGCTCTTATCATTTGTAAAGTTCACTCTCAATAGTGATTATTAGTCTATGTTGCTCGTGTGATGAGATGAATGTCATTAATTTTATAATACAATACGAACTTTTATGAATAAAAATATGAAAACAAGATTAGGTCCTCACCCGAAATTAACTTGATGGTGACCAGATTTGCATCAATGAACAAAAGTGAGAAACTCAGCCTCTTATTTGGTTAGTATATCTTCTTCGCTTTCTTGGGTTATCAACGTTAACAATAAAGACCAGAAATGTGAATTTGATGAGGATATGTAGTCGATAGTAAAAGAAGAGCTCTTTCATGATTTTGGGAGAAGCGACGGGAGAATAAAGGAAGGAGCTTAAGTTCTATGTACTGGCGGGATAAAAAGATTTACACAATCGGGTCACTTGTAAGATAATTACTGTGAGAAATCAAGAGAAAAAATATATTCTGGATATTCGTTAAATGTCTTACAAATAGTCCTATTTATATACAATGTTTACATATACCTAAAGCCTTCTATACCAATGTGGGACACCATACATGAACTACTTCTGACACTCCCTCTCAAGCTGGTGCATATAAATTATATGTACCGAGCTTGTTACATATATAACTAATACGAGGACCAAAGAGGGACTTGGTAAAAATATCTGCAAGTTGATCATTTGACTTCACAAACTTTATAACAATATCTCCTGAGAGAATCTTCTCTCTGATAAAGTGACAACCAATCTCAATGTGTTTGGTCCTCTCATGGAATACAATTTGATGCAATATGAAGGGCAACCTGATTATCACACACGAGTTCCATCTGACTGAGCAACTGTTTGACCCAAACTAGCTCACATGTTGCAAGAGCCATGGCTCGATACTCTGCTTCTATGCTAGATCGAGCAACTACATTCTGTTTCTTGCTTTTCCAAGAGACCAAAATACCTCCTACTAAGACACAATATCCAGATTTGGAACGTCTATCAGAAGGTGACTCTGCCCAATCAGCATCTGTGTATCCAACAATATGCTCATGGCCTCAATCCTCGAATAATAGTCCTTTGCCTGGAGCTGATTTATATACCGAAGAATGCGAACAACTGCATCCCAATGACTATCGCAAGGAGAGTCCATAAACTGACTTACAACACTAAATGTCAGGTCTAGTCACTGTGAGGTAATTCAATTTGCTAACCAAGCCGCCTATATCTTGCAGGATCGCTAAGAGGCTCGCACTATCCTGGCAGAAACTTAGCATTCAGATCCATGGGAGTGTCAACAAGTCTGCAACCCATCATTCCTGTCTTCTCAAGAATGCTTAAAACATACTTCCTTTGTGAAATAATAATACCTTAACTAGACCGAGCGGCCTCAATACCTAGAAAGTACTTCGATCCGCCGAGATCCTTAGTCTGGAAGTGCTGAAAGAGATGTTGTTTCAGACTAGTAATGTCATCTTGATCATTGCCAGTAATAACAATATCATCAACATAAATCACCAGATAAATACACAAATTAAGAGTAGAATGCGGATAAAAGACTGTGTGATCAGCTTCACTACGAGTCATGTCGAACTCTCGAATAATTGTGCTGAACTTACCAAACCAGGTCGAGGAGATTGTTTCAAACCATAGAATGACCTGCGTAATCGACATACAAGACCACTAGACTCCCCCTGAGCAACAAAACCTGGCGGTTGCTCCATATAAACTTCATGCTCAAGATCACAATGGAGAAAGACATTCTTAATGTCCAACTGATAAAGAAGCCAATGACGAACAACAACCATGGCCAGAAAAAGGCGAACAAATGTGACTGTAGCCGCGGGAGAGAAAGTGTCACTATAATCAAGTTCAAATATCTGAGTATATCTTTTTGCAACCTAACGAGTTTAATTTCAGCACAAAAACTCTGGAATAGAGAACAACTCAGAACGATCTTTCGTTAGGAAAATGCAAGTACATCTTGAGTAATCATCAATGAAACTAAGAAAATAACGAAATCTTAAGGTTGAACTGGCTTTACTAGGACCCCATATATCAGAATGAACTAAAGAAAAAACAGACTCTGCACGGCTTTCAACACTACGTGAAATGTATCTCGAATATGTTTACTAAGTTGACACGACTCACAATCTATGTAGACAAACTAGACAAATTAGGGAACCATCTTCTGAAGCTTGGTTAAACTCGGATGTTCTAGACTTTTGTGAATTAGGTCTGGAGGATCTATAGCGGGACACGCTGTAGAGGGATTGAGTGAGTTAAGGTAGTAAAGTTCTTGTGATTCACGCCTAGTGCCAATTGTCTGTCCCGTACTGCGGTCCTACATAATAAAAGAATCATCAATAAAATATATACCACACTGGAGGGTACGAGTCAAATAACTAACAAATGCGAGATTATAAGGACAACTAGGGACATAAAGAACAAAATCTAAAGTGATAGAGGACGGGATTAGCTTGTCCAACTCCTTTTGCTTTTGTTTGGACTCTATTGGCTAGAGTAACATTTAGAAGAGATTGTGAATAACAATATTTGACAAAAGTGACCTACTACCAGCAATATGATCACATGCGCCTGAGTCCATGACCATGGTCCAAGAGTAGTAAACTGGGAAACACAAGCAAAGGAATTACCAACAGCAGAAGTATCAGTTTGAGCGACAGAGGCTACTTGTGGGGGTGTCTCTTAGTTGCTCAATATTGAAGGAACTCATTATACTCCCCTTCAGAGAAAGAAAACCCCTGGCTACCTACGGTCTCAGTCTGAGCAACATGAGCATTTATAGGTGGTCAACCATGCAAAGAGTAACACACCTCACGAGTGTGCCCAAGCTTGTTACAATAAGAACACTTTGGTCGAGTTCGTCCAAAGCGACCTCCTCGTATATTCTCCATAGTCTGGGATGCTCGATTTTCCATTGTCTGGGATTCGAGAATAGAGGAATCATTTATCTGTGATGAGATACTGTATGACTGGGCGTTGTAGCAAGGCGAAGTAACCAAGAGAATAATTTATCAACTGTGGGGACAGTCGGACTAGCATCGCGTACTGAATCAAGGTCATTACGAAGTCCAGCGAGGGTAAGACCTAGAAACATCTTTTGTCGTTGTTCTTGTTGCTTTTCACACTAGCAGAAACTGGCATCAACTTCTCAAATTCCTCCATGATTGCCTGTACTTGCCCCAAATAAGTAGACATATCTAATTCCTGTTTCTTTAGATTTGTCATCTGCGATATCACATCATAAAAACGAGATATGTCATTAGTGTATAAAGTGCGAGCTTTTTCCCAAACTAAATAACATGTCTGGAATGGACAAAACAAGGGCATCAACTTGGAATCAATAGATCGCCACAGGATACTACATAACTGAGCATCGATCTTCTCCCAAAGTGCTTTGGCTTTTTCATCTCCTTCGCTAGCCTTTTTGGTTAAATGATCTTGAACACCTTGACCTTTACACCACAACTCGACAGACGAAGCCCAAACTAAGTAGTGTGAACTTCTCATTAAAGGTTCCAAGGTAATCATAACACTAGAACTTCCGGAACTCATGTTTTTAGACCCAAAAACATCAAATCCCAAAGACATTGTTGGATTGAAGAGAGGTCGAGCAAATTATTACCAAATATTAGAAAAAATCAACTGTAACCCACTGAAACAGACGAATGAAACACTGTAGTTGCCGGAAAATTTACTGTAGCTGCCAGAAAAAGTTAGTGTAGTCGCTGGAAAAAACTCAAAGTGATCGGAATAAAACGAAAACAGTACGTACGGATGGGGTCGGAATTAGCAGACGAATCAACTGTTCCGAAGAAACTTTTTCAAAAAATGGCCGGAAGTGGTCGTACTCGCCGGCGCGCGAACCCTAGCTTCTGACGGCGCGTGAGGCGACTGTTGCCGGAGAGGTTCACTGGGGTTTGGTCGTTGGATGATGACGGATCTTGTGGTAGTGTTGGATTTTGCACAACACTGACGGAGAGAGAGATGACGTAAGACAGTCGTGAAATGTCGCCGGAAAATTGAGGCACGGTGACTTCTGGCTCTATATTCTAGTTCCCGGATGTGTCTCAAAATTGAGGCACGGTGACTTCTGGCTCTATATTCTTGTTCCCGGATGTGTCTCACCTCTACTGCTCTGATACCATGTGAGATAGCACTGGAAAAAATATGTTCTTGATATTTGTTAAATGTTTTACAAAAGCCTATTTATATATAATGTTAACATATACCTAAAGCGTTCTATACCAATGTGGGATACTGTACATGAACTACTTCTAACAATTACAACAAGATCTTATGATAATTATTAAATGGTGATTTGCTAGAAGTGGTTATACTTGCTATCACAGCATAAACTACACTGATAACGTAAAAAAATGTTTTACACTAGAATATAGTAAATTGATTGAACTCCACCACTACAGGAGGAGTTCTGACGGTTCCCTTGTATATCTTCTAAGAAATCACCAGTATGGAAGAAATTTCAGAAAGTTCCTTTTATATCAGTTCAATAAGGATATAAAATTAAAATCGTTGGAAATTATGCTAAGCATGTAAAAGATTTCTACAGAATCAATAATGAAAATCAAATCTAAAGATAAGAATTTAAGTTTTATATACTAATGACCTTATCAAAAAAAGCTATATGTACTAAATTAGTGGTTACTTTCTGTTGCTATTGGTCTACTTTTGCATGGGGTTGTAGCGCGCTATATATTTTCTTTTACAGGTCTCTTGTTCACCTTTTTTAATATATAGTAGTTACCTCTAGTTGACTATAAGTAACCCTTTATCTAAAGTCTTTTATACGATATATCAGTGTACTTAACATATCATGTTGCAGAGAATTTAATCTAGCTACTAAGTTTGCATACTACGGGAAAAAAGTAATTTTAATAATTAGCTTACTTTAGGAACTTGGTTTGGTGATAACAGAATTGGTGACTTTAAATTTACATTCCTAAAACTTAGGTAGCCTTTTTAATTTGTCCCGTCCTAACTATCAATTCTTCTATTCATTCCAAGCAAGTTGTGCTAATTTTGCAGAAATATCGTATTTTCTTGGAACGAGTCTCTGATGCATGCTGTAGAATACAAGCTGCTGACACAAGCTTAGCCATTAAGGCTGTTCAATCAACTAGTGCATCAGGAATGCTCAGTCAGGAAAAATTTGGATTGCAGAAACAGTTCTCCGAAAACACCACTAACCCCCGGTCATTGATTCACACTGCAAACAATGGCAGTTCGTCTTTCAGAACCCAGCAAACAAGACAAACTATTCCATCAGGATATGAACAAGCACAGTTGTTTCTCAATGAAGGTAATTTGGGTAATATAACACATAGCAATGGGAATCCACTGTATAAGGCGAATCAGTTGACTAGCACAATGAAAGCAAACAACTATCAAACGGGATCATCGGCTTATGAAGATATTTCATCTCAGCTCATGAATGGTTCTACTTCAACTCAAGTTCATAGAATGCTTTCTGGAAATCCTGCCAATAGGTTATCTGATAGGAACTTACTAGCATTAGGGACCAATGGTATCACAGAGCACGCTACCCTTAACGGAAATTTGAACTTTCTTCGTGATGGCCTTGCTGATGACCAATGTGGTACCAATTTCACTCAAAATAACTATGCTGATGAGGCATCTACTCTTTTTGCTGGTCCCATGAACTTCATTGGTAAAAGCCAACATGACTCTGAACAATGTTTTGCTCAAGAGGCATCTTCTTCGGTTAGATTTGATGGAGAAAAGAAATGCTCCGCCATATTGTCTGATCATATTGATGAAGAAACTTATATGCAACTACCATCATTTGTTAACAACGTTTGCAGGGGGCAAGAAGTCGAGGCTATGCTCGATCAGGTTTGTAACTTTTCTGAGTTTCACAACATTAATGATACGCAGCAATCACGAGGCATTGGTGATCTTAGTGTTTCTTTCGTGAATCAAGGGAACGTTCAACCTCATCAGGTATACACTTCTTGAGCATTTTTCTTTATTCCTCGCCAATATGCAATCAAAACAAATTAAACATTATGCTCTTCCATTTTCTCTAATAATTCATGTTTTTAAGGGTTGAACTTGATCTTTTCTCGGTCTGAAAATAATTATGGAATGATTAAAAAGATAATATTTTGGATATGTAGATATTACGTTATAAAGCTAATACAAGTTGAGCCTTTCAGAGTTTAATATGCTTGACTCTCGACAGTGGCGGACCTAGGATTTTGTACAAGCGGGTTCAGTCAAAAACAACGGTAACCAATTGTACAATCGGCTCCTGCAAACAAAATTTATTCATTGCTCTTTTTTTTCCCGTGACGTACTCTCAAGAGCCAAAATGAAGTCATTTTAAATTCATGCTGCTTTTTCAAAACAAAGTTGGGGAATATAAATATATATGTATATATATATATAAGAAATTTAACAAAACAAAGTTGAAAAAAAGAGTTATAAACTAAAATTTTGATACAAACGATTAGAGAAAAAGAGATGATACAATAAACTATAAACATAAAATATACTAAATTAAGTAAACAAATTATAATAATTCGGCAAAGCATTCTCATGTTTTTAGCAAAAACTATGTAAGAGAGAACAAAAATCCATTTATTAGAAAGATTTAATTTATTGAAGCAAAGTAGAGTTAATTAAGAATAACTTTTATTCCACCTAAACAAAAAATATAAATAGAAGTATGAAAAAACAAGACGAATAGAAAACATAAGCAAATTAATACAAGTATAACTGAAGAATGGACGTTTAGCAACAGGGTATTGTTAAAATAAAAATATATTAGTTGGCTGCTTTAGCGGAGGCTTGAACCTGTGACCAAGTTTCCTGATTGAACCCTCTTTACCAATGCTCCGCAGCCTTTGTTTGTGTCAAGCGGGTTCAGTTTTGTTAATAAATATAGATTTTCTGTTTTCTGATGGAATTCACATATAAAAATAACTAACTTTTTCAACGAAGCGGGTACAAGTGACCCCCCTTGCTATAAGGTGGGTCCGCCCCTGACTCTCGAGGAATGAAAAGGTGACAGACAATTTAGAGCAAAGAAAGAAAAGAAAAGAAGTTTAATTACCTATAAATGATCAAAATAGAGGAAACTTGCCTATAAATGAAAAAGAAACTTGCCTTGAATATATATAGAAAATGAACATGGGGTGATTTTCAACTAACAATGATGGTAGCAATCAGGGGACGGCTAATTGCAATGGTTTGGCCAAATACAATTCAAGGCAAGTTTCTTTTTTATTGCCTATAAATGAAATAAGCGCTGGAATGTATTGGTTTGTTCATCCAAAGTTCTCTCTTGCACATACATTACCAAGTAATATCATATTTTGTTGTTTATATTTAGGGGTAAGGTCTGCGTACACACTAGCCTCCCCAAACGCCACGGTGTGGGATAATACTGGGTATGTTGTTGTTGTTGTATTGAAACTCACTAAAGTTTGAAATCAATTTGTTCTTTTAAAGAGAGCGATAAATTGTGCCGAACCAAATTATAATAAAAAAATAATTTAAGAATGTTATGCATTTTTCCTTCTATCAAAATATCTTTAAATTATTTCTAATCCCATCCTTTGTACCATCCAACTTAATGTGTTTAAGCAAACATCGACTTTAGTCCGTCTAGGTAAAGAGTTTAACCATCTCTATCTGTTTTTGCTTCCCCAAATTAAGGGATGGAGATATGATTGAAGGTTTGGATAAGTGGGTTGCAGAAGCCTTTGGGAATTGGAGAAGATTAAATTTCAGTTTTATTTGGTTGCATGCATTGAATTGGGTAAAAAGTTGAATGTGTTGAAAATTAATGCAAGAGTAAAAGTTAAGGTTTTTTGGGGAACATATACTCGTTATTCATAATACATTATTACACTCTGTTATATTCTTTTTCTTGAAATGGTTGTAGCGACACCACCGCATAGGTCATACCGAACCTGTGGAGGATGGCATGTCTCAGCTTCATAATGTCTTCTCATATCCTACTGAGGTATGAATTATTTGGTTTTAGTTTAGTTCGTTTTGAACGTTGAATTATTGGATGTCGAAAGTATAACAAGTACTTTGTCGTTACATTTTTCCAGCAAAGTAAAGATGAAGAGTTTTTGGAGCTGGTACTTGCTTCAAGCCCTTATGAAGATGATCAAAACCCAGACGGTCTTTAAAGCCATTGCTGATGAAGATACTGCTAGTATGCCATAAACGCTTTTACTGAATAGTCAATACTAGCTGTATGAGCAAAAAAATATTAGTCCGAGAATATATTTAGAAGAACAGTTTACAGCAACAAAAACTGTTGGTGCTAGTCTGCTAGAGACACTTTTACTTTATTGCAGCGATCGGATTATTTTGTTACAAACATGTTGCAGGAAAATCATGGCAATATGTTAATTTTAATATTTGCAAACAGACAGAAGATTTGTAGCAATAGTGTATTCTAATTTATTGGAATACACCACATTCGTCACAAATGTGAATTTGAGCAACATACTTATTGTTGCTAATTAGTATTTATGTATGTCGTGAAGATTGCATTTTGTCTCAATAGAGTCGAACTTGATTGCCATAAAAGTTTTGATTTGCATTAACACTGGTTAGTTTTGTCCGATAAGTCGGGGTTTGTTGCTACAAATTATTGTCTATCAAAAAAAAAGGATAATCTTTAGCAACTGCTGGTACGCGAAAGACTTTCGTGTTGTTAACCAGGAGTGTCCATATGAATGATGAGGTTGAGACTTAACATCAGTTGTAGAAGTGCTTTGTATTTAGGTTGAACCTTAAACTTGAGAAAGTAGTTCCCCGGCACTGATTGTCGTCTTAAAATGATCTGGTCGTTTTGATTTTTGAATTTCTCAACGCCCTAATCTTAGTAAACAAAGTCTTACCTCACAATGATAGCTCCTAGCAAAATTTCTGCCATGTTTAAACCTGACTTATGCCTAGTTATGTGTTAAATAAATGAGATTATATGTGGATGAGTGTATAATATACAATGTTGAAATAGTGGATATGAGTGTTGGATATGGTTTGGGGTTGAGCTGGAAGTGGTATTGTATTGTAGCATAAGAGGAGCTAGATAGGCCGGACCCTATTCGCACTGTGAGGGTAACGTATGTGGCATGATTTTGGCCAAGGTTTCCAAGAGACGAGGCAGGACAATTGGACCAAAGCGCAAGGTTATAGTGTGAACCTAGTCTAAAGGTTTAGACAGGTTATTTTATAGTCTCAACTCTCACGTCGTAGAAGTAACGTGTAAAGGTGATTTTTGGTCCAGGGTTAGTTCATGTTGCAACATGAATAGCCCGAGCGACAGCATTTTGGCAAAGAAATGAGGCAGTGCAGTAAAGGCATGTTTTGGCCAGACCGCCAGGTCGCGTCATAGCGCTATCGTGTGAAGACGAAATTTTCTTCCTTAGTATTCACGCTAAGGCGAGAGTGGTCCGAGGCATCAGGTCTACAAATAGTATAATGTCGACATTTTGAGTCCAAAAACGAAACAGATAATAGCTAAGGCACGATTTTGAGAGCTCCATTTGGATCTACTACCCAACCCAACTACCAAGTAAGTGTATTTATGAAGATTCAATGTATTTATAACCTACTAATGCTAATTTACGGCCAAATATCTGTGGATGCATGTCTAGATTCCTAAATCTCCTAAAAAATAAAAAATAAATAGTTTGGCTACAAAGAGGTAATTTTGCCACTTGGACTTCATTTATTTGGTATAAACTAGTAGTAGTACCCGCGCGATGCGCGGTCAATATTAAAATATATCAATTAAATTAAATTATGATCGTTCTTGTTTGAACATATTAGATCGTATTGTTTTAATAAATTTCAATTGTCATCTTACTTTTCAATATGATATACCCAATAATAAAATATCTATTAAATTAAAGGGACTTATATAGTTATTGAATTAGTAACTTTTTGGTTCTATATTTTTCTTTATTCTATTATCCAATGTTTAGTATTTTTACATTGTTAATAAAAAAATTTATTAGCATATTACTTTGTTTAATATTTTTCTAGCATACATACATACATACATACATATATATATATATATATCTTGAAATATTTATTATTTAAAATTTTATGCTATTGTTGTCAATAATATTATATGAATTTTAATAAATTAAAGGGGCTTATATAATTATCGAATAACTTATTTGATGTGCATTTTTCTTTATTATATTATCCAATATTTAATATAATTGCATTGCTAATATAAATTTTTACTAGCATATTACTTTGTTTAATATTTTGTCTACTGCATTTTTTGTAATATAATAGAAGATATATATTTTATTACTCTTGAAATAGTTTTTTTATTTTAAATTTTATTCGAACCGCAGAAAGTCTGATTTATGCTTATTATCAATCCTTGTGGGAGCTTACCCCTATGGCTTATTCTCAATTGTCTGAATTTTTGAAGATATATATTTTTTATTTTTATTTTATTCTATTATTTTCAATAATATTTTTTGAATAAATAAACTTGTTATTTTTAAAAATAAAAACAAAATTATTAAAAAAACAAAGAGATTTTGGATTGGCAGTTTTTTATTTTTTGTAATTTCAGTTTTTTATTTTAAAACAATTTAAAACTACAACTTGAAACTACTCTCCAATTTTAATGGACAGCTTTTTTTAATCTTTATTTTCTATTGTAAAATATTTTATTTTATTATTTTATAGATATTTAAATTTAAAAATAATAATCAAAAATTAATTATTAACTAAATAACTAATTATGTTATATGGTTTTTTTCTAGGATGCCACTTGGTTTAAGGAGAAGGCTTTTTCCTCTCCTTTTAATAATATATAGATTAGAATGGAAAGAGTATTCAGAGTTGTACTTATGACTAGGGTTGTACAAAAGAAACTACCAGATCGCACCAAACCAATAATTCGAGTTAAATCAGTAAAAAAAAAACCGACTATGGTTTGATTTGATTTGGTTTGGTGTTGAAGAAAAAAAACTCGACTATAATTGGTTTGATCTGGTTTTAACTAAAAAAAGTCAAACCGAAACCAAACCAACATTATATGTATACAAGTTATAAAAATATTTATCGTAATGTAATTTATCAATATTTCTTAAACTTTTTCATAGTTCTCTCCTTTAATATATTACTTTAAGCTTGCACTTAGAAATTTTGAATGGTCTAGTATGTTATATAGCCCATAAGTGCTAGTAACTCAAATAAAGTTCAAAGCAAAATCATAACAATATTAGTGCTAACAAAAGAATTTCAACTCAATCCTAGGAATGACTAATATTGGATATCTATTTTCTTTTTTAGTTTTGCATTGATTTATAGAGTGAAAATGCATAACTTATTTTTTTTTTTAATTGTTTAGTCATGTAAGTAATATTTAGTACTTTTTACTCGTACTTATTATAGCATGACTTAGTATTTTTAGATTATGTTCATTTTCATTATGACTTATTAATTAGAAATATTTATTTTATGGGTTTTCAGTATCTTTCTTGTTGAATATTTTAGTACAATGTCATGACTCATCTCACATTATTTTATGTTATTTGGGTAACACCTTATATAGTTGTATTCTACTAGGACCAAAGAAATATTTAGAGCACAAGTTATATATTTTGTGCTATGAAGATTTTATTAGGAAGAAATCCGAAAAACCGAGAAAATCTAAAAATCTGAGAAAAATCGAAATTGAAAATCCAACTTTTGTTAATTTGGTTTGATTTATAGATTTAAAAATTTGACACAATTGGTTTGGTTTGGTAACTGAAAAATTCGAATTAACCCGACAATATGTACACCCCTACTTATGACTAGAGGTGTGCAAATAAAACTGAAAAGCTGAACCAAATCGATTAGAAAAATCGAATATATATATTAGGTTTGATTCAGTATTGAGCAAGAAAAATCCGACCTAAACTAACATATAGATATATTTATTTTTTATATATTAAAAACTTCACATTGGATTTTTCTTTAAAATTATATCTAGAAATATTTTTGATCCTCTCATGAAATCTAATATTTAATGGATCTATTATACTGCATTCATTTCTTTTACTTTTAAATAATGTTAGGTCCTAACATGTACAATCACTTTCTTTTCAAGTTTGTTGAAATGTTTCAATCTTTAATCTTCCATATTCACAAGTCGCAATCTAGCAAACTCCTACATCCTCGGTTTTGAGATGATGTTTTATCGTTTTTTTTTAGAATTAAAATTAAACGAGATCATTTCATTATTTAGATTTCATATTGATTGTTAAATACATGCTTTCTCAACTAGTAATCTTGGTCTGCCTAGATGGATCTTTATCCTAAGACTGGCTGCGCATGGAAGGCTAAACACTAAGGGGTCGTTTGGTTACCGGTTAGAGTTATGCAAGTATTAGTTATACATGTATTAGTTATGCAGGTATTAGTTATGTATGTATTAGTTATGCAGGAATAAGTAATGCAGGTATTAGTTATGCAGGTATAAGTTATGCAAGGTTGAGTTATGTTGGGATTAGTTATGCATGGATTAATTATGCGGGGATTAGTTATGCGGTAGTTATATAAGGATTAGTAATATAAATGTAATATGAGTGTTATTTATTATTAGCTTACTTTATTTTTATTAAAATTGTTAGTATAGTTTAAATATATTTTTTTAAACAAAAAAATACAAGTTTGAATAAAGGGTATTCTTGTCATTTTGTGTTTTAATACAAGTATTACTAATTATGTATAAGTTATTCCACCTTCTACCTTGCATAAATAATACATAGATTCCGTCATAACTTATACATGTTTAGTTATGCGGAAAAGAAAATACATGAACCAAACATTGTATTAGCAATGCTATATTTTATGTGAAAAAGAGGAAAAAACAACCAAACATTGTATAACTTATGCTAGCTTCTACGTGGAGATTATTCTTCCCCCTTCTTTTAACCAAACAATGTATAAAGTTATCCTACATTTAATACATAGATAACTCCTCTCTAACCGGCTACCAAACGACCCCTAAGGACAGACTAGTCAATTGAGGGTGACTACTCAAGAATGCCCTCTATGTTGTCCGGAAGTAGGGGTGTCAAATGGGCGGGTTGGGTCAATTTTGGGCAGGTCAAAATGGGTTGAGTCAATAATTGGGCGGGTCAAATGACCCGCCCAAAAGTTACTTGGGCTAAGATGGGTTAAAATTCGGGTCATAACCCAACCCGCCCAACTCTTATTAAACTTTAATTAATATGTGTTATTTTCTTATAAATTGTATAATTACTAAATAAGGTTTTTTTGCTTTTGTTATGGTCATATTTAAAATATTAAACAAAAAATAAAATTATTTCTAAGATATTTTGACAAACTTACTCATGGATCAATTTGAGCTAAAAATTAACCCAACTTTAAATGGGTTGAGATGGGTTGGGTCAAGATGAGCTAAGTTCAATAAATGAACGGGTCAATAACCAACCCAACCTTTGGCGGGTTGGGTGGGTCATTTGGGCTTGGGCCAAATTTGACAGCCCTATCCGGAAGATGAGAGCTTGTCAC